ATGCTATAATCGCAAAGTTTCTTCAGCGTCAAAAGCTTTAGGAAAAGGATTGGCCGACGGAAAGCACATGATTGCCATGTTTCACCGTAGGATGGCTGATACAGGATCTGTTTAATCGCCATGTCGGTTTTCTTTATTGCACTCTCAAGACATAACATTAAATAGAAATATTTTAAATGTAACTAAAGTGTCAGTTGTACATGTCAGTAAACATTGTCAATATAAAATAAAGTGTCAGTTGTACTATATAATAACAGTAATAACAATATAAACTCCCAGGTGTAGGGAGTCTCAGCAGCAAACCCACCTTTATTATACATCTTCCTGAGACCCACTGCATCCGTCTGCCATAAACACTATGCAAACATACATGTTAGTTTTGGCCCATAGTGGACTCCATGTTGTGTTGTGTGAAATGGGGGGGAATTAAAAGTTTAGGTCAAATAATATTTAAAATTATATAAATTGTCATTTGTGTATGTGCCCCTGCCATTCCCCCACAAGGTTGCAACATTGATGATAAATAAATGACAAATAAAGCTTTGCCAGTTTATAACCGATGAAACATGATGGTATCAGAATAATCACTTACATGTGATGTATAGGATGCTACACAGGTCACTAAAGATAAAGTGTCAGGAGAAATAAGCTTAATCGCCATGTCGGTTTTCTTTATTGCACTCTCAAGACATAACATTAAATAGAACAATTTTAAATGTAAATAAAGTGTCAGTTGTACATGTCAGTAAACATTATATATAAAATAAAGTCATAACAGTAATAACAATATAAAATAAACTGTCCCAGGTGTAGGGATAGTCTCAGCAGCATACACACCTTAGTGCAACGTTGTGTGTCAGTATTTACAAAAACTATACCAAATAAACTGTTATTAAATGCAGTTTGTCGCTCATCCTGCCGCTGCGCCGACGCTTCCTCATGGCGCAGCGCCCACACTTCATCCTGGTGCTGCTGGCGCTCCATCTGCTGCTTGAACACTTCTGCCTGGCGCTCCATCGAGGTGAGCATCTTGTCCTCCGTTTCCTGGGCCTTGGTGAACAGCACCATCTGATCTCCACGCAGCGACTCATTCACCACGGCACGCCGGTCCTCCAACGCCTGGGCGGTGTCAAAGAAATTCGCATCCCGTGTCCGCTTTCCTAAGAGGGGAAAATAAGCAATATACAATATACAAGTTTAGTCGCCATGTAGTTTTACAACATACTAGGAATGTGTTTTTTGTATTTTCACAAATAGAATTAAGGTTTCACAAATCTGAAACTGTGTTATAAAGAATGTTTAGACCCTCTGGGATAATCCAGTCCAGATTTGATGAGTGTAGGTATAGTGGTTTTAGATCAGGACCTGGTCTAATGTGGTCTACATGTAAAAAAAGCACTGAAATCTCCCTTTTTTGTATTTTCACAAATAGAATTAAGGTTTCACAAATCTGAAACTGTGTTATAAAGAATGTTTGGCCTCTCTGGGATAATCCAGTCCAAATAAATCGGCTATGCAGCGATTCAAGAGGTTCAAACACGGAGGATTGTTCCTTTTTGAAGAGTGCTTCATGTATGCTTGAACTTTGTTTAATGTTGTTGAGGCAAGTTAAACATAAAATATGATGAATATTATGAAATAAACATGATTGTGAACATCAGTTCGATGCGTAACGTTCTTTCAAGACAAAGTTACAGTGTGTGTACCTTTGCGTTTGGTTGCTGGTAAGGAGGACGACAAAGCGCTGTGATCTAGAATGCAAAGCTCACTTGTTTCCAATCCCGAGAGTTGTCCATCCTCGCCTGAAACAGACGATTAGTGCCATGAGTTAGTGAAGCAAATTACAGAAACACTGCACAGTTATTCACAAGTCAAAACGTTTTCATACAGCGGAGAATATCTAGCTAGCTAGATGTAGCTAGCCGGGGCCGGTGTTAGCCTATTATGGCTAGCATGGCTAGCTTGATCTACTGAGCAAATAAAAGTACATCTGAGACCATTATTGTGCAGATTAAAACCCCAGTGCATGTAGTTGATTTTACCTTCATCGTGGTAGTCATCGTTGGCCACTGAATCCGCCGTTTGTAGTCCTGAGTTTCTTTATATTTAGCCGGCTGTGCACAATTCCCAGGTCGAGTGAAAGCTACCGAACTGGCTTCAGTAGCATTCCTTGGGTCGCCTCCTCGGCGTAGATCTCCAGAAGCGCCGACACCTCATCATTTCTTGATGCTTGCCATAACTGCTTTCAAAAACAAACACAACGCACGGAGCGTTGTGTTTTTGTAGCGAGGAAAAACAATGGCGTCTCCACACAACATTTTCAGAGTTGTACGGGCGTGGTTTGCAATTCGCCCAGCCAATCAGCACTGGGGAACTTTTGGAGCACTTTTCACCCACAGAAAAGTACGCTCTCTGAGCTGGCTCTAAAAATGGGGGGTAAAAGTACCCGAGATTAAGTACGATTTTTGGTGTGAACGCGACATAAGGGGTACTCACGGAACTAAAACGCGAAAAGTACGGTGAAAGTACTCCGGTGTGAACGCGGCTAAGGTAGGGGAATTTGGCACCGTTGACCAAAACACACTGTTTTCTGTTCGATAAGTAAGACTTGAACCAATGTATAGAAACTGCCGAAAAATTGAAATAAGTCAGCTTTGTAAGGAGCACTTGGTGGTCAACAGTGTCAAATGCCTTCCTGAGATCAAGGAAGACAGCACCTACATAAGGGCTCGTGTCCAACATACATTCAACCTTTTCCACAAAGACACAGTTAGCTGTCTCAGTGGAGTGGTGAGCACGAAAACCAAACTGCATTGGGCGGAGTGGAGCGAAACCTTTGTCTAAATGTGTGGTGATTAGTTTTGACACCCATTTCAGCTATCTTAAGGCCCTGACACACCAAGCCGATTTCGGCCGACGATAGATGTCTGGCCGTCGATGAGCGTCCTGTCGCCCTACTCAGATTGGTGTGTCCCGCCCCGTTGTGTCTTTTCGGCCATGCCGACACCTTCCGCGGCCGATTCACCTTGTTGAATTGGCCGCGGAGCCTGCGGAGGCTGTCGGCAAAATAAATCACTCTGATTGGCTGTTCAGCATAGCGAGTCAGTGCATGAGAAGCGAAACGGAAGTGAAGAAGGCACACACAGACGGCTATTATTTTTCATTTTCCAGTACCGCACTAAACATGTTTTCGATTATAAGTCGTTATGTGAAACAGTCTGTGAAACAGTCTATGATGGACGAGAGTGAAAATGGAACGCACGCTATTTATTGTTTGTTTATATCACGCAGTCTGTTCTTCTTCTCTCGGTGTATCACGCAGTCTGTCTTCCGGTTGCCTCTTTTGAATGACGAATACACACTACCACCGCTTGCTGGTAAGGAGAGTTATTTCCACTCACGCATGCGCAGTGCGTACGTGCTACTTGACCGTCAGCTGAAGTCTTTGCGGTGTGTTCCAGTGCAACTTTTTGGGAGACATGAGGCGACACAACAATCGGGTCCGTCGGGACGTGTTCTTTGGTGTCAACTTGGTGTGTCAGGGCCTTTAGAGACACAGGGAAGGATGCTGATAGGTCTATAATTGGACATCATTGCCTTATCCCCAGATTTAAAAATCGGTGTCACCGTGGCGACCTTCCAGGATGATGGAACATCCCTCACTTTGTTATCAGTGATGTTGCAATAGAGGAAGAGAAGCCATGTGAATCAGCTGAAAATGTTTTTATCGTTATTATTAATGGTCAGCTCAGCTGAAATAACGGTTAGTGGTGTTTAACACAAATAATGTTCTGACCATTTTCATCAACACATGTTTCAAATCAAAATCAGAAAAGATAAAGGAAATCGTAAAAGAAAACCTTCTAAAATTGGGTTATAAGGAACCAAAGGCTTCAGGAATGAGCTGCTTTCATGAGAAGAATCTCAGGATAATTTTACTTTTCAGTGACTCGACTGCATTGCCATAAGCCATTATGGGACAAGAGTTACTCCATACTCATACCATACAGGCCATGTCACTGATAAAACACATGTATAGGAGGTTATAATTGGAGTAAGGGGTTCTCTCTAATGCATTATTTTTTTATATATCAATCAATCTTGAACCCTGTTTACATTTTGCCCATTCTCCCTGTTCATTCTGGCGTTCCTTATAAGAGATTTCTGCTCCGATTATTTTTGCGCTCCCAGGATTCATGTGTTCTACCTGTTAAACAGTCAATTGCCATATTTTTTTTGTTTGGTTTAGCTGCCACTGTAACCTCCAATACCCAGAGTGTGATGGTCTGTGAATTAAAATGTACATGTTCTTCATCATTATATTTGTCGTCAGAAGTATCCTAAGATGTATACTATTCAACTATTTTCAATAGATAAGCTGATCAAGCATGATCTGTTCAATCAAATCAATTCCAGTGTCTTCTAAAACTTTAAAATCGACTCAAAATTATAAAAAATCGGCCCACCAGGAGTTCAAATATAGCCACTTTCTGGTTCAAATTGCCATTTTGGATCCTGAAAATGTCAGAAATGTATTTGGCATCCCCAAAAAGCCCAGAAACTACTCTAATATAGTGAAATCCGCCAAGCTGTTTTTGACCTATTTTCCATAAAGGCATTTATACTAATTATTGCTAGTTAAACCACAGCTGGGGTCCCATAGTATACCATTTTAACATCAAACAAAAACGTCCGACATTCCTGGGTTCACAATGTTGGCAAGTGGACTATTAAGGGAGTGGTATTAATTAAATGAAATAGAATTATCTATGCAATTTGTTATAATTCTCATTTACTTGTATTACATTGAAACACTTTGGAACACATAACTAAAGTCACTCCTCGTACACGACCTTACTGACCCAAACCGTAATGTTCAGTAATGTTCTCCCTTTCGGACTTCTCTTTGGTATTGTAGTGTTTTATTCTGTGTTTCCTTCCTTTTACCCTGCCTTATTCGATCTTTCTACCACCCACCCTTCTTCCTTCCCGTCTTACAGGAGATGTTGAAATGCAATAAAGGCGAGGGGACGGCTGAGCTGGAGGAGGCTCTGACCACTATGCTGGACATCATCAAGTCTGTCAACGACTCCATGCACCAGATAGCCATCACTGGTTTCGAGGTCAGTTTGTAGAATGTATTCAGCATCATGTACACAAATGTGTTAAGTAAACAAGGTCTCAACTGTTGTTACGATAACTAAAACTTGAATGAAACCACTATGGAAATTGAGGATTTTAATGAATTCCTCTTAAATCATGACATACATGCACAGCACGGCACACACATTGACATTTAGAATAGGGTTCCTGGTCCTAATAGAAGCTATTAAACAGCACCAGGTTAGCAGTGTGGGGGTCTGAGGCTTATTTGGTCAAGAGCACCTCGGCAGGGCCCGGAAGGCGAACTGTTACCTCTCAGTCAACACTCCGTTTTTGGTACCAGCGTCCCTCCGGTTCCCAAGCTAATTCCCTAAAGGCTGAGCTACTGAAAAATATCATCATAACCTTGCCTTAAATAACCTCAAGTAAAACAATGTGCTTGTAAAATTTCAATCCGTTTACACAGACTGCTGAGAAGGATGTTATTTGAGGATTTAGTCATGCATGGTATTTGTTCTGAAATGATGTCACAACTAAAGAACACATGGTCCAGATGTATTGAGTACAAGCTTTTATCTTACATAAGAAAAACAAAGTTAGTTGAATGTTACGATACAGCATTGTTGGCTTGAGTGATTAATCCTTTTTTCTGTAGAATGTTCTATTAAGACACTCGTCTGTCATTTTTTTTGATTGTGTGAAAAATCTTATGGAGCAACATACAAAGCTGTTTTTAACAATGCTAATAAACTGTGGTTCCTGGTAGCCTTTTAGCGCGTTCACACCGGAGTACTTTTCCCACAATAGTTCATCAGAACTACGATATATTTTAGCGCTTTCACACCGGAGTACTTTTCCCACAATAGTTCATCAGAACTACGATATATTTGCGTTCACACCAAAAAGCCCCAGGAACTAAATTAGTTCATCAGAACCATTTTTACGCCGTTTTCAGTCCCTGCTCGAGAGCAGGGACTTATGTGGGAGAAAAAAGTTCATACGTCTGATTGGCTGTGCGGAATGCAAACCACGCCCGTTTGACTCTGAATTTTCTTTTTTAAGCGGCCATTGTATTTGCTCACTTCGGGCAGCGCACCTGAAGAGATTACTTTTGTGAAAGCAGTTATTATAGCAACACTAAATAAATCATCGGAGCGGTGGAGTGATGAGGATGTGTCGGCGCTTCTGGCAATTTACTCGGAGGACGCGATCCAGAAGCTTCTACTGAAGGCAATGTCCGTGGTTCAGTAAAGTTAGCAGACCTGAAAAACCATCCACAGCGCAGTCATGCCGGTAAGGTAAAATAAACTACATGCAATGCATTGTTTTAATCTGCACAATACTGGTCTCAGATGTACTTTTATTTGCTCGGTAGATCGAGTTAGCAATGCTAGGTTGAATTGGGTAACACTGTTAGCAGGCCGGAACCGAGCTAGCTAATAACATCTAGCTAGCTCGCTAGCTATTCTCGGCCGCTATAAAAACGTTTTGACTTGTGAATAAGTGTGCAATGTTCTGTAATTTGCTTCACTAACTCATGGCACTAATCGTGTGTTTCAGGCGAGGTGTTTCTCTCTGGATTGGAAACTAGTTAGCTTTCCCCTCCGGGATAAAACGATAATATAATGTTAGCAATTAGCATGCTAGCTGGACATAATGCTACCTCTAACAATACATTGCAGTTGCTATAATTTCATGAGTCATTTGCAACATTCATTCTACATGTTAATGGTAAAAGCTTAAACAGTTGATTACCTGCATGCCACAAAGACTGATGTTCTAATATGTTTTTATTGATTGTTATAATTGTACTCAGCCATGTTATATTAGATGTCAATCCACTTACACTGTAACTACTCTGGCCTTGAAAGAAGGTTACGCATCTAACTGATGTCCACTAATCCCTATAAAACAAAGTTCAAGCATACATTAAGCACAAAACAATAAATAAGGGCACTTTGATATTTATTTTTTATTTGATATTATTTGATCCTATCTTATTTTCTACTTTACACCTGCATTTTGTACACTGTCCCTGCCTGCACCATGTCCAATGTTGTCTCTGTTGACAACCTACCAGGCGATTAAACTGATCTTGTATCTTGCTTATTTCTCCTTAGGAAAGCGGGCACGGGATGACAGCTTCCTTGACACCATCATGGCGATGGACCGCCGTGCCATGGTCAGCAAGGAGAATGAGGACCTGCGTGCCAAGGAGATGCACGACGAACGGTTGCTGCATTCACACAAGGCCCAGGAATCGGACGACCAGCTGCTCATGGTGATGCCGCGCCATGCTGACTCGGCGGCGCGGCAGGTGGAGGTGTCGGCGCGCCAGGTGGAGCAACAAAATACCTTTCAGGCTGGGCTTCTGGCAGTGCTAAGCGAGCTGATTAAATCCAACAGGCCTTCAATAAAAAAATAAAGAAAAACTTGTCGTCGTTGATAAACTGTACAATGACTTGTTGGGAGGCGTGTGGTGCAGTGGTCTGGTGCGTTGGTGTTCGGATCAGGGGAGCACAGGTTCAAACCCCACTGCAGTCAGCATGTCGTTGTGTCCCTGGGCAAGACACTTCACCCCAAATTGCCTACACCTGGGACAGTTAATTTTGTATTATTGTGATTATATATATATGCCACTGTTATTAATACTGACACTTCACTTTGCACTAAGGTGTGTCTGCTGCTGAGCCTACCTATTGTTATTATATATATATATATGTTTTGATACTACTGACAGTAGTAACTTCTATTTACATGCATACGACACACCTGGGACAGCGTGATGCTGTTATTGATATTGTCTTGAGTGTGCAATAAAAGAGAACCTACATGGCGATTAAACAGAGCCTGTATCTTACATTTTTCATTACATTTCATGTAACTAAGCTTGCTTAGCCTCTGACACTTTATCTTTACAGTGACCTGTGTAGCATCCTATACATCACATGTAAGTGATTATTCTGATACCATCATGTTTCATCGGTTATAAACTGGCGAAGCTTTATTTATTGTGGCTTTCAAAAAGATAATTTCATTGTATTTCAAAATGGCGTCCATCAACACAACCACTATTTATTTATAGAAAGAGAAATGGTTAAGTTTGTTATTACCAGTGTTGTGAGTTCAATATTTTTAATTAATTATAGTAAGGGAACATCTTAGGAGTTAGTGTAGTGAGTTTCAGAGCAGTGTAATAATTATTTGACCTAAAACTAAATGTTTTTATGAACATGACATGGGGATTTGCTAACTTTTGATTTCCCCCATTTTACACGACACAAATGGAGGCCACTATGGGCCAAAACTAACATGTAGGTTTCTGTAGGGTTCATGGCAGACGGATGCAGTTGCTCTCAGGAGGATATATAATAAAGGTGTGTTAACTGCTGAGCCTATTTAGTGTGCATACGACACCTGGCACAGTTTATTCATTTCACACAGGTTACGCAATCCATAGCGCGTGCATGTCGTCGTCCAATCCTTTTGTCAATCCTTCTTAACCGCCGTCGCCTCCGAATCAGCATTGCTATTGCACATGACTGGTCGACGATCTGTATTTGTGTTTGCTTAAATAACTCAGACGAAGCTGAGGTCGGAAGGTAAACAGACACCTCATATACAGCAGGTGGGCGCGGCAGTATAAGCGGGAGGTTTTTCTTCTTCTTCTTCTCTCGTTTTTTTGGCGGATTGCAACTTTATGGTGCATACCGCCACCTACTGTACTCGCCGTGAAGTTGTTTGCGGCCTGCCAGTAAACCCAAAGCAAAAGAAGAAGAAGTGACGTCAGCGGTTCATTTGCCTAATCCACCCCCAGGAACTCATTTTGGTGTGAACGCGATCTGCTTTAGTTCATCAGAACTAAAAGAGTTTTCATGAACTAAAGTTCTCATGAACTATTGTGGGAAAAGTACTTGGTGTGAACGCGCCTTTTGAATCCTTTGCAAAAGTCTGTCCATGCAGCTTAATCTCCAGATCAGATCATTTATTAACCGAACATTCTCAGGGGTGACTTGCCATTCTTAAAAGGTTGTGTTGACGAAACCACACTTTATAAGTAAATCATTGAAAGCCGAGGGGTGTAGTTGAGGACATTTTTGCAAACATTTCTGAGAATTCATTTCAGTCCCTGGGGGATTTCAGTCTGTGTGTTTAGCCTCTTGACTAGACTTGCCTTCTATGTATAGTGGAATTGTGATGACTATCATGGTATGGATCTGCTTTGCTACACAGAGATACACATTTTGTGGCAGATTATTTGTGACACTAGGCTAAAAGATCTGATTCTGTTTTACTTGATCTCCAAAACTGACATTCAGAGTGCAGTTAGTTAATTTAAAGGGGCCTGTTATGCTCTTTGGGATTTTCCCTTTCCTGTGTTGAGTTATCGTTTTTTGTGCATGTAAATGATCTGCAACGGCTAAAATCTCTATCCCACAAACTCCCCCCCTGCCTGAAAAGCCAACACTGGACTCCTTTGTTGATTTCTGTTGCATAGTGACATCACTTTTTAACACGTGGGCCTCTATTGGCTAGCGCTCCAAGACATTGTACTTGATATGCTAAGAGGAGGGACTTTTCCGACACATCCCTAAGCAGTTGACCAATCACAACAGAGCCGGCCAACTAACCAATCAGAGCAGACTGGGCTCTAGTTTCAGACAGAGGGTGAAAAGAGGTGCTGCAGCACAGGCAGTATGAGAAAAATAAGGAGCCTTTTGAACATTGAAGCATGGAGACATGTCACAGTAGAGACACTAAATGCTGATATGAATTGGCCTACACAGTTGTTATGCTACACATTGCCCTTCACTGGATGTATAATGAGCTGCACTAAACTACATTTCAGCATTTAAAATACCTAGCCATTCTTTTGCGGCTATTTTGGTGAAAGTAATTCAAAATTAATATAAAAGTAGTTTAACTCATTACATTTCAGAGACAGTAATATTGTAATGTAACTTATTACTTAATAAAGACAGTAATAAGTAATATGTACTGTACTACATTTTGGAAGTAACTTGCCCAACACTGCTGGGGATACGTCTCTGATGCTGTTCCAAAGTCTACTTTTCAGATGGAATCATGTTGAAGAATTGTCCCTATAAGTCTGAAGACGATGTGAGCATGAACTGCACACTGCAGAGATGAAACACAAACAACACATTTATCAGTGTCAATAGTGGTACTGGAGCCCAAAACTGGGGAAAAAAATCTAGGCTCTGTTTATATTGTGTCTTAGGTGTTCCATTTTGTATTTGTGTGTGTGTTTATAGGTGAACGTGTTGTCCTCTTTTATGGGCCGTCTTCCTTTATTTCCCTCCTAAAGTCTAAGTGTATGTGTGTGTGTGTTAATGCCCACAGGGAAACCTGAGTGAACTGGGAAAGCTGCTGATGCAGGGATCCTTCAACGTGTGGACCGACCACAAGAGAGGCCACAGCAAGGTACAGCACTGCAGTATTACCACCACATTACCAGAAGTCCTTAATACCAACATTAGGAGGACATGCCTTTCATTTGAACTCAAGTCAAACAGAACACCTCTAAAGAAGAGCCATTATTTCAACAGAGCCAGACCGATGTGATGGGAAGAATTTACAACTATGCGTTACAATTTTGTGCTCTAAAACTCGAGTCACAAGAGCAAATAAAACCTAGCATTTGATAGGTGATATTTTGAAATATGTTGATGAATAGAATGGAACATACAAATGTATATTAATTTACGGAATATATCTGCATTTTTATTCTTCTGAGATTGTATATTCATGATGTATTGCGCTTACTGTAAGTCACTTTGTATTTAGCTAAATGTAATGTTATGAAGGAAACACATTTTCGTTTAACTGGTGAGTGTATCCCCATATCTCTGTCAAGGTGCAGTTGGTGTTGAATTTAAACAAATATTATTTTTGCAGTTACATGCTATATACAGTAAGTGTTTCTTCACAAAACATAATAGAGCCTAAGATTTTTTAATGTTGGGAAAATGAAAAAAAATTGAAATATCTTGAAAGTTTAGAGGTAACATTACCAAGATTACTTTATGTAATAGGCCTAAGTTGTTTGTTACCGCACATAATTGGATAATAAAGTAACACTTCAAGATGAATACGGGAACAATGGAATGATTGGGGGACATGCACACTGATACAATGACCCGTTTCCTGATTCCAGGTGAAGGACTTGGCCCGGTTTAAGCCGATGCAGAGGCATCTGTTCCTGTATGACAAGATGATGCTATTCTGTAAGAAACGAGAAGAGACGACAGACGGACACGACAAGACCCCGTCCTACAGCTTCAAACACTCTCTCAAGGTCAGATACATGTTGTGTGTTAGGCAGAGTGATACTGAAGGACTGAAACAGCTACGGCTAATGCAAAACAATGCAAAAACATAGGGAGAGAACGCCAATAGTACATATACATATAAAACTAAGTGTTTATAACACATTCAAGTGTTTTAAGAGTAGATACATTAAAAATAATGAATAAACAAAACTGTTATTTGGACCACCTGATGAGTTTAATAATGTACTCTTTTCTCTAAGTTTTGGTCTCAACCAACTCTTAACCAGCTAAACTCACTGAGCTAAACCTGATAGTTAAATGTATTAGTTAAAATATTTTTTAATGTTGTGCAGTATGAAGTGGCATGAGAAGAAATAAGTAAAGTGAAGTACAGGTACCTCTGTAAAACAACACGTTTTGCAATGTATTAAACAGATTGTTGGCCGCTTTATATTGTAAAGCGGCCAACAATCTGTTTAAACAAACCATCAGAACACCATATTCTTTGGTATATTATAATCCAAGAACATTTTAAATGTTAATTGTTGCAGTGTTATGTGCCAATTTATATATATGTTGATTGATCAGATTTTAAAGTTCTGAATACAGCAATGTTTTCTTAGCCATTAGAGGGCAGAAAAACTCTACATCAGCCCCATTATTCACTTATAAAGTTAGTATGGCTAATTTAGCAGCAATTACTGCTTATTTACAAATGTCAACGGTGACGGAGCAACATTTTAATGCCATTAGATTCAGAAAAAAATTCTAAATGACTGCTCATGTCGGTCTTTAAATAAGCAAAGACAACTACTAAACCATGTTAGCTTCATAATCCTAAATGTTGTTTAAGTATGGATGATTCTCAGAGCAGTTTCCAAGATCTTTCACATGGCACGTAAACAAACGTTGTTCTTTTCCAGCGGTGGCTTGCTGACATTTCTCTATAAAAACCCCAAGGGGGAGTGGAGCTGTCATTGATAAATCTGCTGTACAGATCCTCAGGTTCCTTTTCAAACAAGTCCACACAAAGTGAGTCGCAAAGGAAGTCAAGTATGAAAGAAATGTAATCACTTTAAAAAGAAAAAAAAACAGCTCAGTAAATCATGCCTGTATGCTTCTGTGTTTGTCACAAACAGTAGCAGGGTTACGGATGCAGGCAGACGACCTTATGTGCTGGATTTCACAATCTGTGACCCAGAGAAGAGCATGAATATGGGATTAGTTTTGTTTCATAAAGATAAAGCAACACTTTCTCAGAATCAAGCAAAACAAAGAGTTTAAGAGAAGAAAAAAACTGAGTCAAGCCAAATACATTTAATTTAAAAAATAAAACTAAGTTGCAAACAAATCATTTGTGTAATCATGTAAACTATAAGTCTTTTTTCTTTGTTTTAACACATCTTTTTGTTTGCAGTTCTCTTTGCTTCTTTCTCAATGATCAGACTTTTGCTCTCGCTGCAGCTCTTCTCGTTTGCGCTCCCTCATCTTTTGTTTTCGATTCTGACACAAACGTCCCAGGTAGGCGGGACTCTCAGGGGTGCGTCCCCATTGGCTACTCAGTTTTTGAGTGACAGCCCACTACATCACAGGTCATACAGTGCAACTCATGCAGCAAACTCCGGAGTCCACTCGGCCACGTTAGTGTTGGTGTCTCCTGGGGAGTTTTCATGAACATATCGGACTTATCTTATGGATTGCTGTGCATTATACTTGTGTTGTGTAGTTTATACTTTATTCCAACTTTAAATATTTGAATACCTGAACACACTGCTGCTGTAAAATAATTTCCCAATTTGGGATTAATAAAGTGTCTGTCTGTCTATTTATTTATTTTATAGATAAAAAAAACACATCTATGTATTTTCAAGCTAAAGGGGATACACAATATAAACTGTATACTGTTGTTTTTTCAAAGACATGTTACATTTCAAAAGCATATATTGCTATGTTTAGGACAAACAATTAAAGACTGCTTTAATTTAACAAACTCTACAATATAAAAGTGGCAGATTTGCTTTATTAAACAGACCAGACCTAGGCTGCATACCAACACAATTAGGAACATGCTCACATCTTACTATGTTGGTCTGAAGAGCTGAAGCATTTATTCATACACAATGGATAAAAACTGTGTTGTCTCATTTTATATCCTGTGAGAAAATGATATACATTTAGCATTACAAACTCGACATACTATTCCTGAGGAAGATATGAATAATGAACAGATTTGAATGGAATCTCTTAACATTTTCATTTAGAATAAAGACAAGAGTGATTATACAAATTACATTTATTGAAATTTGAACCAGAAGATGAAGTCTCAAAGAATGTTTTAAATAAAAGGACATAAAACAAAAAGGTGGATAATAATCAAATATATTAAATGTATATGTAAAGACATTTGGTCAAATGAAATGACACTGAGCAAGTGATAACAGCAAGCGTGGATGAAGATGGTGCAGGTCTTTCTTCTTTCTTCTTCTTTCTTCTCCGTGGATCTGATGATGTCCCCTCAGAGGAAGTGGGGAAACGGGATAAGACCTCTGGACACCACGCTGTCTCAATGATCCACACTGTTAATATGAGAGGAAAATAAATGTTTTAGGAAATTAAAAATATTAAGTTAAAGCTCCCATGTCATGCTTTTCCGGTTATTACCCGTCCCCTTGTGTGTTATGAAGGTTTTTATGCATGTAAACGGTGTGCAGAGTCAAAACCCTCAAAGTACACCCTGTAGCGAGTAAAACTCTAACACAGAAAATACCTCCCCAAAACGCCTCGTTGGAGATACGTCACTGCCCATTTGATTCTTCCGGGTACCGCCTGATGTCATGCGGTACCCGGAATGAAATGGACCAATCCCGAAGAGCTATGGCCACACCAGCAGCGGCGTGTTCCTCCTCCAGAGGTTCGAAGAACCGGCATTTCACAGACGAAAGCTTCCAAAACATTGCCCAGTTTGAGGCCGGATATGCACAGCTTGTTTGGACCGTTTGGAGCAGGGGAAGATCTGGGTACACAACCTGTAAGTTTGCATTGTTATTTGTGTATTTATCAAACAAGACTGTTTAAATGTGTAAACTGTGTTGGACTGCTAAGCCATTGACACAGTGCTAACTGTGCTAACTAAGTTGCTAGAGTTTCCATATATCAACTCTAATATCAGCAGATGGCCTTGCATACATGTATCTCATAGCAGGAGAATGTCTGCATTCACACACACGGAATACTCATACAGTATACTGTACTGTGATTTACCGTACATTGTGACCGTACATATACTGCATGTAGCTTACGAGGCTAGCTGTATGCTAGCGCAAAACAATGTATTCATGCAAGTTACATTGTATGGTAGCAGAATACCCGTATACGATTGCAATTATAAACACGTTATTGCTAGCCTAATATGAACCACTAGCTTTTGTTCATAGTAGTTTTATTACACTGCATTATAGTTGCCTTTCCTCCAAGCTAACGTTCATATCGTGTTAGCTACCAAGGTAAACAAAGCTAGGTTAGCATATTAGCAGGCAAGCTGTTCATTACACAACTACTACTAACGAATCTAAAACAACTAAGTTTCTCTAATATTTTGTGATTTGCATTTGATTTCGTCCAGCCAGATCCTGGCGGACAATCCATGACGTGCTAAAAGGCACTTCTACTACTACTGAGGCGTCGTGCTAAAAGGCACCGCACCGACTGTGCGCAGGCAAGATGCGAGGAGGAGGAATGGATGATATACCGTGTATATATGTATATTTATGTTCATTTTGTACATTTCTAAAAATAAAGTTTAATAGAAATACTTAGTAGGCCTATCCTTTCTTCCCTGAATTCATATATAGCAAACCATGATTTGATTTCTCATCAAACAGTAGTAGTTTATAACGGGTAAAAATAACTTACTCTTTGTTATGAGCGGCTCGTAGGCCACAAAGACAAGGAGACATACACGAGTTTACAAAACCACGGCACATTTATTGTGGTAAATGCAGAGATAGGTGGTTGAGAAGATCGCAGAGTTAGTCTTCCTGCAGCCGCTTTGGAGAGAGACTGGGGCCGTAGTGTCCGGAGGTGTCCGTGATCGTGCTGATTAGCCTCTTCAGCTCCACCCCATCGTAAGACAAAGGCCCTGGGGCCGTCACACTCTTCTATAACAACAGTTAAAAATATATATGTATATAAAATATACGGCTGTGCCGACGCCATGATAAGACTGATGTTACGCTGAGAGCAGCCGGGAAAAGCACTGTTAGACATGGGCGCAGCCTCTCTGGTGGTTGACTAATCAGAACGAGTGGCCGAGCTGACCAATCGGAGCACACTAGGCTCACAGGGAGGGGGGGGCAAGAGCTCCAACGAGTCGTTTAGTGGAGAAAGTGAATACTGCTGAATACACATGCTTGACAGAGATGCTGTATGCGAAACCAATGTGAGTTTGGAAAATTGCACAGTATAAATCTATTTTAGTATACCTCAACAATGTAATTATGATCAGTGGAAATGGCCATGACATGGGCCCTTTAACAAATAAAACACAGGTCAGGGGCAGTCATGGATGGTAGGTTTTCCTACAAAGAGAAGAAGTAAACTCAGCCTCCATTGATTTTCATATCAAATTAGCATGTTAATAAAGTAAGCTATCATGGCTTATACTTGCATATATCTAAACAGAATCATGAAAGCATGTTGGTAGAGTCAGGCACACCAGTCCGTTTGAGTGTGTCTGACTCTACCAACATGCTCACGAACGGCTAGCTAAGTAGCTAACTGTCCCTGCTGTTAGGCTGCTCAGCTAGCATTGGTATGGATCTAAAGGTAGCAAAAGCTAACTTTCATAGCACAGCTTTTCTTTACTTCTCACTTAACACAATAAAGAAACAGACCGTATAGTACAGCACAAACAACACAAATTATCAATACTTACATATATTTTCTCTTGTAGTATAATAATAATTGAAATGCTGGTTCTTCTGGGGGTGTTCTATCCACGCTCAGCTACCGCACCGCAGCTGCACTGTACAATCGCTGGAGGACTGGGCTGTCGCTCAAAAACTGAGTAGCCAATGGGGACGCACCCCTGAGACTCCCGCCTCCTGGGACGTTTGTGTCAGAATCGAAAACAAAAAATGAGGGAGCGCAAACGAGAGAGCTGCAGCGAGAGAAAAAGTCTGATCATTGAGAAAGAAGCAAAGAGAACTGCAAACAAAAAGATATGTTAAAACAAAGATAAAAGACTTATAGTTTACATGATTACACAAATGATTTGTTTGCAACTCATAGTTTTATTTTTTAAATAACATTTATTTTGCATGACTCATGAGTTTTTTTTTCTCTTAAACTCTTAGTTTTGCTTGATTCTGAGAAAGTGTTCCTTTATCTTTATGAAACAAAACTAATCCCATACATGAACAGTAGTGACATGATGAATACATTACATGATTGGCAAAGCTCCTTTCACCTTACTGCTATTAGAATTAGCCGATTCTGTTTACCCCTTTTAGAGTATCCTGTGACAAATGATCTAGGTTATTTATAGTTGCCATTGATGATGCATTCAAGTGCCAACCGTCCTGATCAGATATTGAGCCATGAAAGCTCAACATTTGTAAATCTATTTCATCTGTAAAGCTTCGATGCTGCTGAACACTGAGGTTTACATCATTTAATTACTGTTTTTATTTATTTATTGCAAATTTGTTTAAGAATTTGCAGTAGTACATCATTAAGCAAGACTGATCTTGCGTATAACCTAATATTGTAACGATTTTTGAAATATGTTTTTGGTCTAAATATTTTTTTTAACAAATATGATGAAAAGACTGATTATTGACTATTGCAAGTAGCCTGTTCAACCTGTTTGTAACACGCAGAAAGAGTTTTGAGACATCAATCTTTAATGGGACTTATAATATATAGTAGCTTTTTTTTAACTAAAGGAGGAAATAGGGTTGCTGCATTAGTTTGGGACTATTTTCGGTGTCCCATTAATACACATCTAAACCCCTCTTTGGTGGAATTTAGCTTCTTGTTCTGTGCCGGGGCATTTTTGGTTGGTTCAACCCCTGAATGGGGGACCACTGGCACAACCCACCAGAGAGGTCTGATCAAGGAGGGAGCGCCCGTAAATAATTGCTACATCTGTAGGTACTTGGTTCAATTGCAAAGGAGGAGAGGAGCCACGTCATTACGTTACCGTTTCCATTGCTGCAATGCCAACGTGAAACACATCAAGCTATATAGCACTTTGGTGTGTTTAATTGAAGTCTAAAACTCCTTACTCATCTATAAATGTGTGCCAGCCAGGCAAGACAAGAACAACTGGTTAGCGCACAGGCATCGAACCAGCCCTATAACCGACTCCGTGGAAAAGGGGTAATAGTGATGTAGATTGTTAGTAATTCAGCAAAGTGCCAGTTGGTTGGTTTCTGCGGGTCTATGGAATGAGTTTATTTTGTAAATGTTGAGTCATTTCGGCCTCTCACGGTGTCTCTGCTCTGCTTCCTGTCCAGATGAGTGCAGTGGGGATCACAGAGAACGTGAAAGGTGACATCAAGAAGTTCGAGGTGTGGTACAACAGCAGAGAGGAGGTTTACATCATACAGGTATGTTGATGTTTAACAAAAAACAACAAAGATTAGAATCAAATCAAAATATAGACTTATGAAGCAGCACATTGTTTTTAATACTTTCCTACCCTAATTATCATCTCACAATCCCTTAGATGTATCTAGTGACCCTGTGAAGGGGACCAGACCCCTAGGTTGGAATCTATCTGAGTAGCTTCTCATGACTAGGTCCACTCCACCTGGAGTAGCTCAAAAAGTTAAATCATTCTTATACATTGATGCACCAGTATTACAAATCTGTAAAATGTATAATATAATCATTGATGTCCCAGAGGGAGTATACTTTTGATACTTGAAGTATATTTTGTTGATAATGCTTCTGTACTTTTACAGAGGGGTTGTTCAAATCCATATATAGAATATTGGAAAAAAGAATGAGAAAAGAAGGAGTATGTCCTTTGCTGTGTATACCAATGTCTAATGTAATATCCTGTTCATTTTTATAAAGAATACATGTATTGTACAAGAGGAAATCAAATATATATGATTAAGATATGATGTGTTTTATGAAAATAATATTTAAACTGAGGGACATACATTTACACTTTATTATATAATATATATATAAAGATTAATGTTATATATTTATTTTTTTGGAGGCATTCAGTGATCTTTTCCACGGTCGTCCTCTTGGAGGCAGTGTTGTACCGCACAGCTCTCCCACTGAAACACAGAAAAACTGCAGGAGTGTTAAAAAAACTCTTGTTGTATATGTTGCTTTATATTGAAGTGTGTGTGGTGTGTGTGTGTGCGTTTCCTCTGCAGGCTCCTTCCATGGATGTGAAAAACATGTGGGTGTTGGAGATTCGTAAAGTTCTTACAGGCCAACTCGAGGCGTGCAGAGGTATACACACACACACACACACACACACACACACACACACACACAAACTCCTCTTCCAATCCCCCCTACTTTTATTTAGTCAAAGGTTAGAGACGATGCCAAATAATAACAAATTAGAAGGAAAAAAATATTTTAAAAATACAAATTTCAGTATTCTGAGGCACTGAGCCCCATTTCTTTTCCTCGTTGACGGCAAAAAAGGTCAGAAATTATACAATTTAAAATAAAAACAATAATCGTGGCTTGATATTGAGTAAGAACATGTTTTTATGAACCACACAGCTTCTGGTCTTCCAAGACCCGACCGGACAAAAAGACGTGGTGCAGGCACGAAACATACTACCAATAGAAATACAGTGCTTTTAAAATGCGAAAATCGTGTTGGTGAACACGAATCAATAGATTAAATGTATTTTGTGACTATTACAGGAAATGCCGTGAGACTGGGTTGGAAGCCCATAGAGCTAGCTTTAATTCACCATTTAGTTGGAAGGTTGCACAATGACCAATGGACTGAGTTTATATATAGTGCTTTGTCCACTCTTTACAACCTCTGAAAGCGCTTTACATTTACACATCATCATTCACCCATTCACACGCCATTCATACACAGCAGTCTGCCACTTGCTCAAGGACACATTCATTCACACACCGTCGGTCATGTCATAGGAAGCAATTTGGGGTTAAGTATCTTGCCCAAGATACTTAAGACAACCTGACCACCTCACAGCCACCCACTACCCTTTTGATTAGGTGTCCGTATGTGTCATATTTCATATCAGAAATCTTAACACACCTATAATAAGCCTACAGGTAAGTTAGCTATTTTATTCACATTTTATAGGCTAATTTAGCTCAACTATTCATACTCATTCAACACAAATGAAAATATATATATTGCATTTTCTTAAAGGTCCAATGTCATGGCCATTTCTACTGATCATAATTCCATTGTTGAGGTCTACTAGAATAGATTTATATTGTGCAATTTTCCAAAATCGTATTGGTTCCTCATACAGCATCTCTGTATAGTATGTGTATTCACTCTCTGTCCTAAACGGCTTGTTGGAGCTCCTGCCCCCCCCCCTCCCTGTGAGCCCAGTGGCCGTCTGCGAGACAGCGAGACACAGCGAAACACAGCCTCGCCGTGTCCCGCCGTCTCAGAGAGGAGAAATCGGCGGAGCTGCAGCTGAGAAAAGATTGAGTGTGTGTGTGTGAGGAAGTCCGCGGATTGGTCCATTTGGACCAATGAGTTCATTTGGGTATGGGCACGTCACTGTACCCAGGAAGAAAAAGAGAAATCTCCAACGAGGCGTTCTGGGGCAGCATAGACAGGTATTTTCTGTGTTAGAGTTTTACTCGCTACAGGGTGTAGTTTGAGGGTTTGTGACTCTGCACACCGTTTACATGCATAAAAACCTTCATAACACACAAGGGGACGGGTAATAACCGGAAAAGCATGACATGGGACCTTTAACTTTTCTTACCTTACTTACAGTTTAGCTTGACTTAGTTGTAAATGTCCTATTTATTTAGAGGCTTACATTTTGTGGCTAAAGCTAGCTAACGTAGAGGGTTAGCGGCTTTAGCTAGCCCCAGCTTTGTTACAGTAAGTGGATGTGATAGCTGCCTCCCCTGGTGCTTTGTCATTGTAGTCTAATGACAAAACAAGTGAGCCTATATATCTTTTACGCATCTGTGAAATTAGTTCATTGGACTATGGAAGGTAAAGACATATTTTAAAGTGGTCTACAAACATTACAATTGTGACACACAGCTAACACAATTCCCCAGACTGTGCTGGTCATGTTTCAAAAACATACTAAAAAGTGATTTGACTCTTTTACTGTTTGATTTTCTGCTATCATTACATCCTGCTGCAACAACTCAATTGCTTCCTGTTATCATGAAAATGTTCAGTATCTATCAGCACATCTACAAGTCATCCCTCGCTGCAGTCTGCTGATAAGCTCGTCATCCTCTCTCACACTACCAAGTCAGGGAAACGTCCTCTTTTCAATACTGTCTGTACTTACACAGAAAACACATTTTAATTGCGACATTCAAACGTGATCACAGTTTTACTGTGTGGGGTAGTTTATGTAATGATTGCTTGATTGACAAAACAAATCTAATATGGAATTGTACATATACATGTTGTATATCAACCAATTTGAATGCGCCACTTGAGGCCTTTGAGCATGTTAATGTTTTTATTTTTTCTGACACTTTATGGACTAAACTATTAAACATAAGAACATAATCAACAGTAGGGCTCCGCAATTTTGAAAGATAACCTACACACAATAATATTGACTCATATTGCAATTGCGATATGATTTGCGTTTTGAGAGGGAGAAAATTAAACATAATTCACATTTCATTGAAAAAAAGTAAATAGTGGTTATTTTACAAGAGGATCTTTACATAAAAATGATTTTTTATTAAGTATGTAGAATACCATTAGGCCGGGACTTCTTTGCAGCACCATACTATATACAAATATGTTCACGTATTTTTTCTTTGCGTTAACATTTTTGTTATTGCACTCGTCCATATTGCATAACGATTTAACGTCGATTAATTGTATGGCCCTAATCTACAGTTTAAACCATCATAAAAAGAAGTCTTAATAATACTTTAAGCCATGTCAGGACAATGCGTAATACTCACAAGCATACAAAGGCTCAAACATGCACTTACATACACACAGTACCGCACACTTACTCTCTGCCTGTGTGTCTGCTGCCCCCCCCACCTTCCTGTGTTACCACCTCTCCTGCCCCCCCTCTGTACCAGTAAGCACCGTCGTCCACAGTTCCACTCTGTGGCCTGACTGACAGCAGAACCCCCCCCCAACGTGAGCCGCACACTGTGTGTGTGTGTGTGTGTGTTGTGTGTGTGTGTGTGTTGGTGTGTGTGTGTGTGTGTGTGTGTGGTGTGTGTGTGTGTGTGTGTGTGTGTTGTGTGTGTGTGTGTGTGTGTGTGTGTGGTGTGTGTGTGTGTGTGTGTGTGTGTGTGTGTGGTGTGTGTGTGTGATGTGTGTGTGTGTGTGTGTGTGTGTGTGTGTGTGTGTGTGTGTGTGTGTGTGTGTGTGTGTCCATGTGAGGAGGGTGTCGTAGCGAGCGTGAATTGGTGTGGGAAAGGGAGAGGGAGGAGATTGAAAGTGATGGGAAGAGACAAGACGAGGATGAGGGATGATGGGTGGAGGGAGAATAAGAGACGGACAGAGAGGAAAGAGATTTTCAGGGTGGAGATGGAGGCTGAGAGGCAGCACAAGGGGAATGAAGGAGGCTTGAGAGAGAAGGATGAAGAGAAGTAGGACGAAGAGGAGCCGCACTCCTTCAGAAAGAGGAGGAAGTGTGAATGTGAGGAGAGGAAGTGTGAATGTGAGGAGAGGAAGAGATGGGGTACAATACACAGCCTAAATGCTGTTTTGACCAAAGTCATTTAGAATCAAGGTCAAGCTTTTTCTGGACTTTCAACCACATCATTTTCTTTTTGTTAGTCAAATGACGGTGTATACTGAAGATTATTAGCTATTTCCAAAGTCAAGAAAGATCTTTCACTCTTGACTGGGATCTGAGAATGTGATGAAGACAGTACAGTAGATATATATATATATATTAGGGCTGTCAAGTTAACGCGTTAATAACGCGTTAACGCAAACATTTTTTAACTCCACTAATTATTTTAACGTGCGATTAACGCATATGTATTTGTCCTCGGCCCGCCCCGTAGTTTCAGAGCGCAAAGGCTTGACATTGTTGTTGTTGTTGTTAGTTGGATGGTGGGAGATTCTAGCGAGAGATATGGATACAAAAACAGCAAGCCAAGCACACAGCTGATGCTGACAGCCCCGCTCCTGCCGCTCGCTTGCGGCAGGCCACGCTTGAAAGTTTGCCGGGGAGACGCCTGGACAACAACAGCGATAGCTAAATGGGTGGCTACAGCTTAACATTGTGGAGGACGAGGGGCTGCGTTAGATAATTCAGATCGCATCCAACGTGTTGACTGCATCACAGCGCATTATTTTGACCCTAGGTGGGAACTTCAGTCTCATGCTTTGACTGTTATGAAGACAGAGGAGCGGCATTTCACCGACAACTGTAAACAGGCTTGTCTGTTTGAGCAACTGGCTCAGTGCAAAGAAGTAGACAGGGTCGGGAGAGAGTGAAGACAGAGAGAGAGGTTCCAGGTTGTTGTATTGAAAATATTCAGGAGAATATTTGTCATTGTTCAAATGATAATAAACAAACATTTGCATAAAGCATATTTGTCCACTCATATGTTGATAAGAGTATTAAAAACTTGAAAGATATTCCTCTAAGGTACATTTAGAACAGATTAAAAATGTGCGATTCATTTGCAATTAATCGCGATGAACTATGGACATCATGCGATTAATCGCGATTAAATATTTTAATCGACTGACAGCCCTAATATATATATATATCAGTAAGTGTAGAGGGAACTAGAAAACGGAATAAAGTGATGTGTATTTGAATGAACTGCAAGATGTGTAAATGCTGTTCTCTCATTTGAAAAGAATAGACTTTGGGTTCACTCCCCATGCTCTCTGCTCACACTGCTGTTGGCCTGCACACACCTCGATGTGCTCAGCCTTTATGAATAAAACATTGTTAGATCCATGATGAAAAAATATCTCCATTTTGCTGAATACAATATTTGGAGCATGTGGAATGGCTCCATGCTGAGTCTGCATTTGTGCGACAGGTTCATTGGTTACTGGGAATGGGAGGTGACAAGCGAGATCATTCAGAGCTTGGTATTTCACTTATGTGAGCAATGCATTTGGCCAAGGCTGCGCCTCGCTGCAGTTTCTTTACGAGATTCTTCTCCACAGATTTCTTGTCACACAGCAGAATCCTGTGGCAGGCCACATTTGTTAACTTTGCATTTATGAAGTCTCTTGTTTAGATATGAAGCTGTAACCCCGATGACTTCAGTGTGTGGATGTTTCTTTCTTTTTTTATAGCAACACAAAGTGATTTCTATCAGGCCAATAAAAGCAGCTTACGGAGTTGACGCAGCAGTTTGGGCAATTGTATGCATGGAGATAATGCAGAAATGTTAGAATTGCACATGATGTGAAAGGCCAGAGAAGCTTTTGCTGTAAATATGTCTCCAGAGGGAACAGCCTATCAGAAATACAATGATATATGTTCGATCTTTTTATATCCTGCCCAGTATTGGTTCTTCTTCCTTATTATTTAAATAGCTTTGTCTTTTACGAGGACTCACCTTGAACTCGATACAGCTACTATTCTGTCCAGTATCCTTCATGTCCTGTACAGCGAAGGACCGGCCCAGGTTCCAAGCAAGCTTAGCCGATACTAGAAGGTGGGGGTAAATCTTTGCAGAACACTTATTGGTCAGAGAGAATCATCAACATCTTCTTGAACCCTACGCCATACACTTGACAAAGTAAAGATATAGCTGACACTTTTGTATGAAGCAACTTACATACACTTCAATACTGTTTACATGCTTACAGGAGCATTTAGGTATCTTACATTGTTGACTGCAGGGGCTAGTGATTGAACAACTGACCCTCCAATTGGTAGACGCCCATTTACCCTAAGCCAATGTTGTGGTAGCAAAGCAAGGGTTAGGGTTAGTGCCCCATTTAAGATGATTATTTTACTTGCCATTGTCAGGTCACCATTCACAGTGGATAATCAAACAGATAAAAAGCACTTGGTACCAAAGATGTAATGAAGTGGATCACAATGCAGTTGAAAATGTTGCATAAGACGTTCTAGGTTCGTATACTTAAGACCTCAGTCATCAAGGCAGCAGATCAAAAAACGGTCACCTAAAATAATTCTGTATGAGTAGGGTTAGGGTTATGGACCACTGTTGAGGCACTGAAGGAACAATGTCACAATGAAATCTAATGTCTTTCTTGTGTTCACAGAAGCAAGCCAGCACAACATCTCTGGGGCCCCGATGAGGTGAGCACCCAACATTCACATTCTCACCAACAAGAGTTTAAAAAAGTACCATTACATAGGTTTTGCACTGGATCTCAATTATGCTTATCCGATCATTCAATATAGGAAAGAGAATTGATTGGATTGTGTAAATTAAGTAAGAGTCATTATGATTCAGCAATTTCATCCAAAAAAAAATCTTTAGAACTTGGTATACCAGATATTTGGTTAAATGTTACTTGTCCTTCTACTCCATGTACTCCAGGAATGTCTACAAGAAGGCGCTGAGACAGTCGGATTCATCAAGTCCAGAGTCAGGCTTGAGGAGATCCAACCCCAGCCCTAACATGAGGCAGAAGAGAGGTAAGAGCTACATTGTTACCTTAGAACAGACTCCAAACTAAATAAACTCTTCACACACTTTATTTAATTTTGTTTCCTGTTCTTCTGCAAACACACACAATCTCAAACACACTTATCAACCCTTCGCACACATAGTCAAAAGCAGTCAGGGATAGCAGGACAGCCTTTCCACACACAAACACACTTACACAAACACACACACACACACACACACACACACACACACACACACACACACACACACACACACACACACACACACACACACACACACACAATGTTGTCAACTGCAGTCGAGGATAAGATAGCAAGTACAATGTAACACTTGTGAGAAAACCCTAGTTTTCTTTGAGCTAGTATATCAACATTCTATCCGCAAAAGAGAAAAGGAGAAGGGGGGGGGGGAGGGTGTTGGTATGAATCACAGACTAAGTCAAATCGACATGAGCCTGCAGGGAGCCACCTTGTCACCTACCATACTTCTCTATTATCATTCCTCTCTCTCCCTTCTCCTTTTTCTGCCCATCTGTCGCTTCCTTCTCTACAACCTTGCTGCCCAACTCCCTCCCTTCATGCATCCTTGTGTCTTTTTGGGTTCCTTCGATGTAATCAATATGTGAAGAGAACACAAACCATACATTTGACTACTTTATACAGTATTTTATATCATTTTTCTTACCACACCATATCTTCTGTTTCCCCTTGCTCAATTCAGACTCCTCACTCTCTTCCCTGCATTTCATTTCTCTTGATTATATATCACACACACACACACACACACACACACACACACACACACACACACACACACACACACACACACACACATACACACACACACACTGAGCAAACAGGAAAAGAGTCTTGTTTCCATAGATTTAGGCCCCGGCCCCACGGGGACGCATACGGTAAAACGCATACGCAAACGCAATCGCAAACGCATAAAAAAGGCTTCCGTCCACACGCAATAGACACCGGAAAGTGTCTGTTCACACGAGACAGCTCCGTTTAGCTCCAACCGCTGGAAAAGCTGCAGTACATATGCCGAGCCTGTACGTGGCGCTGTAACTTCCTCCACAAAAGCAGCGAAGAAGCATGGTTGTCATGGTTGCCCTTCTGTTTATTCTCCGTGGTGGGGGCCGAGGGAACCGGGCAGAGTTTTTCGCTGGTCAACATGTGTTAAAGTTTAAATCTTCCGGACAAAATTATAAAAGTGCCGGTCAAAGGTCTTCATTGTTATTTATTGAGCTTTAAAACAAATGAATAACGACTTTATATAATAATATAATAATAAAATACACGGAGCCTCTCTTTTTCCTCCCTCTCTTCTGACAGCGTCAGTGTCTGTCTCATGCAGCAGCTGATCCAGTAATGAGTGACCCGGCCGACAGTAAAAATAAACATATTTATAACTAGTTTAGATAGTTTGAGAGGTAATTAAAATAGCTAAGGGTGATGATCTGACTTGAAGTGTGTGTTTTGCTCCGTTCACCGCTGCATCACAGCGGGAGGAGCTGCGTGTCTCCGTCCTGTCAGATTAGACTTCACTCGCGTTTATGTCCATATCGAGAGAAAGATAAATAATCTGAATTCAGTGTGCAGTTTACTTTGACGCGGGGTGAGCAGCAGAGGTGGGGAGAGGCGGGGCTATTGCGTCATCATTATCAGAAAATGATCGTATAGGGCGTACACACGGAGCCGTTTGACCCCCCAGAGCGTTGCGTATGCCGTTCTATCCACCTTGGGACCCGTTATCGTTACCGTAGTCGTTTACTGCCATATTCTGTCGTCCTAGTGTGGCCGAACGGTCTATATGACACAAAACGGTAACGGAAACTACCGTATGCATCCTTTTCCTCAATGTGAGTTGAAGGGAATTGCATTATGTCTCCAAACGACGGAAGGTGAGTCCCCACAACATGAGTTATACAAGTCTACACACACAACAGGTGTTGGCTTGTGGGTTTGTACCAGACATGTGACACGTTTAACCCGATAAAAAAACTGTGCTCTGCATATTGATATACTACAACAAGTGGAATATCTGTTAGTGCCGAGTCATTTTGTTTGGGGTCTGACACGGTGACAGTGAAAAAAATCATGCCCACACATCCAAATCAAAGATTGTGCCACACACAGACACACACACACACACTCACACACTCACACACACACACACACACACACACACACACACACAACACACACACACACACACACACACAGTCGCTGGACTGTCCGAGCCTCTGCTCTCCAGGCTTTATGACGTCTGTCGTGGATAATGTAGTTCTGACATCTGTAGCTCATTCAGATGCCTCATCTTCTATATAGTGGGAGTGTACCTTGTACATATGTACCATTGCAAAATGTCCTTTTGACAAGGATAAAACCAACACATTTCCGGCACATCTGCCACTGCACAAAATACCCTAATTTCTAGATTCAGTATGACTTAACATAAACAATGAAAACTGTGTTTCCAGAAATACAGACCCTGGCCAATTTCAGTGAATGTGTTGGCTACAGTAGGTCTTTAATTATTCATGGCGACTTTAGCACCTTTTCTCTTGTATTACTAAGCGATGAACCTCACATACCTGAAGGTAATGATGTCATTGGAAAGTGTGAAGTCAACTGAATCTAAATATTTCTAGATTTGACTAGATTTGAATCTCACAAAACCTTAAAGGTAGGGTAGGTAAGTTTGAGAAACCGGCTCGAGATCGCTAGAATTTGAAAATACACAACCGGAGAAAATCTGCCACTTCCTTATAGAGCCCCTCCTCCAACACACAACGAACGCGCACATGACCAATGGAGGGCACGAGATAAGTTTGTGCACAGATGGAAGGCTGACAGGCAGGTAGGCCATCCAGTTATTTTAGCCGGGCCGGCTAAAATGATTGGTCGTGCTTTTTACAGTATTATGGCTTCCACAGATGACATTTTTTTATGGATTTTTTGTCAAATTGCTATCGGGATGTTAAGAGCATTCCATGGAATATAACAAAAAGTGTATCTCGAGCCGGTTTCTCAAACTTACCTACCCCACCTTTAATGCATTGAAATATACAAATGAGGATCAAATTGGGAAATTAGTTATTATATACTGCACCATAATGCTTCCCACATCATTATGATCTTTTTCCATGTGGTATTATTGCTCTCTATCAGTGCGCTGATGATGACGGCAATAATAGGAGCAGTTAGAAAGCTAACTCCACCATGCAACAGAGGCCCAGAGCTCTCATAAACAGTCATTCCCTATAGTATCAATCAAAAAGCTGTTCTGCAATAAAATATTGCCATGTTGTAAATGATTAGAGTATTTGCTTAGACCTGCCACCGCTGTGGGCCAAATTGTTGTCTACCAATCAGCTGGTCAGTGGTGTGATCCCCAGACCCTGCAAATCATAATCATGATGACATTGGAAGTGTAAGGCATGTCTATGGTGTTAAAGTTTTTGTAAGTAGCTTTGGGTAAAAACATCAGCTAAATTGAATGTAATCGGAAATTCTCTGGAATGAATGCCAAAAAGGCAGGGTAATATATAAACAACTGAATGTATAGAGATTTATAACCAACTTGTAATTTATAATGTCTGCCTATGCCTCAAGGTGCATTACTTCAGTCATAGCATGCACAAATTGGCATATTTTGTGGAATGAAAATTACCAAACATACAAACTAAGGTTTCGACAGCACTGTAACTCATGTATCACATTGACACCAATATAAGAACACTTCCTAACAACACTCCAGCCTGCTCTTCTTCTCTCGCTCCTGAACTAAGCCCTGCTCCCTCTTGCTCTCCTACTCAGTTGATGCTTCAGCCAGCCAATCAGGCCTCTCGGCTGCTAACGCTAGGAAACGCTTCACCTTGCAGGGACTTTCCAACAGGAGGTCTCTTCAAGCAGGTAACAGCGCAGTGTGAGACTTTGAGTGCTCACTTATGCTACCTTCATCATGACCATGAGCATCACCATCATCACCACCACTGGGATATATGTCAACACAATTAGAGTGGTGCAGGAATGAGTCCTAAAACTGGAAATGAGTTAGCAATTTACCGCTTCCGCTTTCTCTTCTCGAAGTCAACGTTTTTTCTGATGTTAAAACAAGTTTAAGAGATTTTCAGGTTTTGTTCTACGATATAAAACACGTTAGTAAATACCCACTCATGAATGTGCAAAGTTTCTAATGTGTCATAAAAACGGAGGTTAGCTAACAAGTGACTAAACAAGACTACTAAACGTCAGCACGCCAAATATTAGCCGCCTTTAGCTTAGCGGTGGTGATGCGCAGCCATGTGAACTTGATGTTTTTTCGTTCATAGGTTGCGTTAGCATTTTTATTATGGGGATTACATTTACGCTTCAATAATATTCAAAGTGGTGTCTTCATTGCTTTTGTCAAGGGACCGCTTGGATGCTAACTAACCCTAACCCTAATCTAAACCCAGGTATACAAAAAGACTTCTTAACTGCACCACTCTATAGACCGCACAGTCTTTTCTTGGTTCTCTTCATCTGTGACTGCTTTCATCATCATCATAATCATCACCATCACCACTCATCATCATCACCAATCATCATCATCATCATCAACATCCAGGCTCCATTCACATAACTGCTGTGGTCTTTCTCATCTTCAAATGTCACATACATTTCTGCATGTCGCTGTTGTGTCAGCATAATGAAGGCCACATCTTCTTTTACTACACTTGCTCATATTTTATCCCTTCATGTCAGTATCCTTTGCATCCGCCCGCACTACAACAAGGAACCTGTGATTTCCGAAAGAGAGGGATGGACTGCTGTTGCAGAGACAGCAGGCGATATAGAAAGGGAGAATCTGCCAGAGTCCCGGCAGTAGTGACACAGCGGCGAGGCTAAATTATGCGGCGCAGCACAGCGCTAAATGTCACCCTCTAATATTCAAGCCCTCTTGACATTTGGAGGCTCATTAACATTTTTGGAGGGGGACGGGCTAATTCCAAGTACAGCTTTCCATGTGACAGCAGTTCAGTTACTCTTCAAGCCAAACATGCCCCTATTGAGATCACAGAACCCATGAATGAAGAAAGTGAAAATGATGCATTGTAGAGATTTGTTTCAAACTATAAATGTTATTTAAATAGAAATAGATTTCCTGTTGTAGACTTCTTTAAACTTTAAAAGTAGGAGAATAGGCTTGTATTGGAATCAGGCTTGCTGTATATATACTGACCTTTTATGGGAGTGCTTGACTCAATAAGCCCAACATGTTGGATCAGTGCTCTGTCCTTTGACTCACAGTGACATTGCTGTTTTTTTTTACAGTGACACAGCATTTCAACTCAGTGGTGAAAAGCAGGTGGAGTTCAACATGCAACTTTAGCCCCAGTCATTACAATTCAAGGGGGCAGACATTGATGTCAATTGATGGACAATTTCCTTAAAAATATGTGAAAGCTAGGTTTTATCTGTCCCTCAGATTCATTCTGCCACCTCAAAACAAAGGACAGCAATGACATTTACGAATGACATTCAAAAAACTTAAAAGGAATATGTCTTAAGAAAAATATATCCAATGAAGACTTTTCAGAGTGCTTTCTTTGGTTTATCCAGAGTAGCGCAAACATTGTGTTTGGAATATCCTTTCACTTCCATCATATTCTTAAAATTCTAGGATTGGGATGAAACATCAAATAAACAATAACTTCAATACAAAAAAAGCAAGTTTTCTTTCACAACCCCCTCTGAAACACTTGCTGACTTTTTGAAGTTTTCTATTAAATAAAATGGTCTTCTTCGATTGGTTTACGAAGTTTGCAAAGTTTAATCGTGGTAATGTCCGTAGTTTCCGTTACAATATCCAAACAAACTCCATTCACTGAGGAAGAACGTGAGATGAGGTTAAGGGCTCATATCGAAATAGAAAGTTGAACTTAAGTTTTATTTGTCAAAAACATGATTACATTAGTACATCATTTCATGCATGTCCCGCTTCCTCTTTTCATTAGCATGAAATGTAGTAGAATCTTCTTTCTAAATGATTTTAAAACAATGTTAACAATACGGTTGTCAGGAAGTGGGATGTTAAACTACTAACTCTTCCCTTCCTTTGTTCCCTGTTATGCTCTCACCTTTCTTTTTCTTTCATTTCAAATCTATAACACCATCTCTTTGACCATGCTCCTCTGCTTCTTCATTTATCCTCCCTTTTCCTCCTTCTATCTTTCCTTCCTTGTCTCCTTCGGCGTCCTTTCCTCCCTCCTAACCCCTCTCTGGCTATAGCTCCTGCTGCTAAGGAGGCAGAGGTCACCCGTCGCTTCTCTCTCGCCTCCTCCCTAACCTCCTCTTCCTCCTCCACTTTCGCCGCACGACGCACAAAAGGTACCTGATTCATCAACCGGTCTCCCTGCCGCCATGTTTTTATTTTTTCTATATTTGCTTGCGTTTTTGATTCATTCACACAGATGGTGCGGATCACACTGGTAGAAAACGAATTATTACACTACATTGCAGTGTTGAAATAAAGGATGGGTAAATTAAGACCTTTCGCCAGGTTTTTTTTTAATATGAAGAAATAGCAAAAGAAAAACAAATATCCTAGTTTTTATTCAATAATGCAAAACCTCACCTCGTCTACGACTCTAAATTTGGTTTGTACCAAACTGTATGCAGAACTTAGCCCATTGCCAACTTTGCAATGGCAACAATATAAAGAAACATTTCTAAAATACATTTACTTTGTTCTCGTTTGAGAAAAAAATACATGAAACATTTTGAAAATAATTACGTTTTGGTGGTTTAATAACAAGACCCTCTTTGTTTTTTATCTCTGTCTATACAGATCAGTGTTGTCAGAATGATGTATTTAAAGGCAAACTATTGCACCTTGAAATACATTTTAAAATCTCTTGGATATAGGTTTTGAATAATTATGGTTTCTGTTGGACTTCAGGTCAGTCATGACCAATACACACACTCACATTGAACCTGTAGTGAGAAAAGTGTGTGTGCATTTATAAAGAAAAACCCTATTTTCTTATTACCTTCACCCCATGTACTGCTCTCTTGGAATGTATGAGATGCATAGAGAAAGTCAAGCCTTTGCTGGGAATGAAAACAACGTTAGGCTGCAAATGAGTAGACATACTTTTTTTTTTCTTTTACAGCAACGGTAAGGAAATAAGAATTTTGATAAGCTGACATTTGGAACATAGGGTGACATTCAAAGTGGCCGTAGAAGTGCAATTTACTATAGGAATATAGATGAGAAGTTCATTTCAACAGGGCCGAGGCAGGGGAGGAATTAAAAGAACCAGCACAGAGCTATTTTCACTCTGTCTGCTCTCTGCCTTTATTGTAATTTTTCTCCTTCAATGCAGTGACCTCTGATTTTAATTGCCGTCCAACATGTGCACTTATAGCAGGGAAAAATAGGATTTCAATTCATACATGTTTGTGTCTTTAATTTACAATGCATATCTTATCTCTGTCCTAATTTCAGCCTTGTAAATAACATTCATGACCTAATATATTTAAAGGATACTTTTCTTTTAGAATAAGTATAAGAAAAGCATTACACTGATAACATAGCATTAAATTCATCAAGATTTGGCCTCGAACACGGACAGAAACAACAATATGGACAGAAAGGAAAGAATAATGAATGTTTTTTACCTCAACAAAATCAAATCGGTTTCAGCTTCAAACGAGAAGGAAAATAGTTCATAGTTCATATTTATGCTTTCATTTTGGTCAATTGGAGTCACAACCTACGGTATATTATACATATTTCACCGGAATTCTCAGAAATGATACAGCATACGATTTCTTTATCTGTCTTAATAAGTAATACAACTAATGAAAATAGGGATGCTTACAGTTGTGACAGTCTGTGTCTTCCAAAGCTTGTGATGGTCACTTAGTAAGACGTAGAGATAAACAGTCAAACTGCAAAGATCTTGTAAAACCACTGATACACGCTGTGTACCAGATGGCAGTTATCACATGAGAATTCAGACTCTTTTAACAATGGTCTGAATAAAATCATAGCAAACCTTTTATGAAACTTACACTCTGAACGATAAAAAGTGTTTACTCTAACAGATGGAAGCTCATTGTTACACATTGCATATCTAAATGTGTTTTACAATTATTGTCCAAATGGGGTTTTGGGGCAATGCTGTGTGTCTGCCTTCTTTTTTACCATCTAATAAAGCTTCTTGTTGCATGTTATCTTCCCTGGACAGGTCCCCTGTCTGCTAGCATAAAGAGCAAAAGACATGAGATAAAGAGTGATCCCACTCCATTTGGTTATGAAGGTACTTGAACATGCAAAGATATATTTCTGTACAGGCACTGAGCATGCTGGGCCTTTTAGCGTTTTCTTTGGTTTATAAGGTACAATGTATTTGTGAGATTTTTATTTTATTTTGATGTGTGTAGTGTGTGTGCACGTATTTATGTGATTGTTCAATTCCATTTCTTGCCTGCTGTGTTGACTTGCGTTGTGATTCGTGCCGTGTCGTTTCCAAATGCATGAGCATCAAAGAAAGATAAGATCAAATGTGTTGGTGTAGTGTTGGTGAGGTGAGGGGTTTGGTGTTTTTTAGGTGTATTGACTTATTGGTTGATTTCTGCATGAGTTGAGTCTCACTACTTTATCGGTAGCCTCACGTTTTGATTTTTGTTTGACGATGTTGAGTGGCAATCATGACGTAAAGGATTGGTATAAAGCGTTTGGCTTCCCTCCAGATACTTTGCGTGGTGCTATGGCTGCAGTCAGGAAGCGTCAGAGCCTGATTAGCAGCACTGCTACTGCTGCTAGCGCCACTTCAACTGTCCCTAGATCCACATCCCAACCAGGTAACTGCAGAGAAACAATGTCTCCTACGGTCAATTGTCTTGTCGGTTTTGATAAGTTGAGAAGAACGTTTTGTTTGGCTTTGGTTAATAATTTGGTTTTGAGCAGTCTTTTTTAGATCAGTGTGTCCTTCTGATGTGTTGGTTTAACTTCTTTCTACATCATGTTAGCCTCGTACTGATCTTAAAGAAATAGATCTTGAAAAATCTTGCTCGAATGCAACCTCTAGGTCTATCTTAGCCATGTAATCATCAAATGACTCCAAACAGGTTGTGCCAATAGTCTGTCAGTAACATCCAGAGTTACCTATATTACTGTTACAAACCTAACCCTAACCCTAGGGTTACGTCCAGGCAGCTAATGCAAGTATGAACGGTTGAAGAGAGGTTGTGGTCACCATGTTCAGAACAATGCGTTGACTTTTGCCTTCTTTGACGAATTCAAACACTATGAACCAAAAGTGATTGGTGATTATTTACTAACAAACTGTTTTCTGGCGTTGTGCAATAAGCTTTGACTGAAAGTGTAGAAGACTTTACCCAATCAGTGAACCAGAGAAGGCAAACAGCCTCCACCCAACAGCTTGGCCACTTTATATAACTCCTAAACTTTGAAATCCAACATCAATTCTAAATGTAACCATTGCTTTCACTAACAAAAGTTGCCTTGAATTTGTTGTCATAATTAGCTTTTCTGGTAAATGCCTCAAACCTTCTGCTTCTGAAGATTTACAAAATATGTGCAGTACTTCGCCAATTATTGCACAGCTTTATATATTATCTCCTGTTGCCAGCACATTTTAATCCAACAAGGGTATCATGGATCTTTCATTTTGACTTAAACTTCCTGGAAAATTGGGATTCATCATATGTTGTTTGGCTATGCCATGGTCATGTCTTTTGAATCAGTATTGCAGTCATTTTGTGTGCAAGAAGCTTGGTTAGAGGTTTAATTATTGCGATAAGATGCATCAAGCTTTCATGATGATGCAAGACCACCTAAATGCACATCACCATTGCTATAATGTCAATGGAGCTACGTCACCTTCCAAATGGAATAGTGATATCCCTCTTGTTTCTGAGTAAATTTTGTGGCTAATAATTTGCATTGATTCTCCGCAGGTTGGGCCCAGCGGCGTCACCCTTCCATGGACACAGACGACTTTGAGACGATCCCCTCCAGTGCTGAGGAATCCTCCAACTCTTCAGAAGAAGAAGGCAACAATAAAAATGTAGGTTACTCTTAAAATTGTAAAACCTGTCAAACATTGGTCCGAAAGGAAAATGTAGCTCCACCCTACCTATTCCAGTTCTTCTAGGTCTCGTCAGCTTTCGCCTAAAAAACGTACATTCTACGGTCAACGCCCAATGACAGCTCCCCACTTATCCCGAGTTTCCTCTCTACTCATATTCCACTTTCTCCCATTTTTTACAAAATCCCCTCATGATCCTCCTGACAGAGGGTCCCACCTTTGCTTAATGTTTTCCCATGGACACGTGACTCGTTATGGGCAGGCACTGATGACTTGACATTTAAGAAACGAGGAATGGACGGTTTATAGCTGCACAGGTCTGCTGGGTATCACATCCATTATAATATGTGGAATGGACAGTAGAAAGACACAAACTGGGAATGGCCCACACTTTGGCACACTTCTTCAAAGACATGTACATTTTACATTAAGTATCATGCAAAATAGGGCATATGTTAATCCTGTCTATGTATTATTATGTTTCCACATCATATCTTTCAACAGCTATATTATAAACTATTCATTAATTAAGCTTTGAAAAGTATTAATACACATTAGTTACAAAGTTCAGGGAGATCCAAACAGTCTGTTTTGCTTGTTTAACCTGTTTAGCCCTGAGCCTGTTTTTCAGGTCTCAGGCTCGAAAATGACATTCCCAGAACAAATGACCATATCTTCCCTTCTAAAAGGGTTAAATTAATAATCTTTTTCCTCAAAGTAATGATAAACCTGTGAGTTGGATGTAGAAGAGTCAGAACAATATAGATGTTTTTTATTTTAAAGAAAACTCAGATTGAACATAGTAAAAAACTGTAAATTATAGTGTCCGTCCAAAAATTATTTTTTACTTATAGTGAAAACTACCTTTGGATGAGGGTAAGGTAGACTAAAAGCTTTAGGAATCCAAAGTACAACATATAATAAGTACCCTGTATCAAGATTGATGCAAAACAAGTGACATTTGACCTTTTTAGAGAGTTTTAGCAAAAGAAACTCCACCTCTGATGATTTGGGTGGAAATGGGGGTTTTACCGTTTCTCTGGAACCCATTGGTCAATTTTGGTGATTGACATCTCTTTATGACCGTTAGAGCCAATAGAATCGAAGGGGAATCTCCCCTCTCACTAACATGGCACAACAAAAAGGTGGGGGCTTCGCGCATGTAGTTTTGCATCAGAGCGAGCCTACACTCTAGCTCTGACATCTAGAAACGGAAAAGCAGTTTTAATGCTTATGGATTATCAGAAATCATTTCAAAGGGACACAGACACATTAGATTAACCTATGGATTAACTTCAGCAGCGTTTTTATCGTTTTAATGCCATTGAAGACCACGTTTGACCAGACTACAGAGACAAGGTAAACCATGTTAGCATTTTTAGCTACCTAGCACCACATGTTTTGATGTCTGTTTTTGTTTATAAAGTCGCGATTTCGTATAATTGAGTGATAATGAGGGTACCCTTCGATTCTGTGTTACCTCACGATATGAAACGATGTGTTGGATGTGCAGAAAAGATAAATAATAAGGTTTTGTGAGTAAATTTCGGTGCAGTAATCTGTTAGCATTTTTCGCTCGTTGCTAATTCAGAGGCTCAGCGTTAGCATTGTGGGTTTTATTTTGAAAAAAAAAAAAATGATCAGTTAGATGAGTTTCTTCCCGTTACATGGATATAAAACATTCATAGTTTATTAAATGAACATGCCCTCAGACACTGTTTCCTGCAAGATGTTGCGGCAGTGCCCCGGTACCGGGGTATCTCGGGCTAAACAGGTTAAGTTCAAACATATAGAAGACCATTTGCAATCATAGAGTGGTGTGTCTTTTTCCAATAAATGATATACAGCAAAGTTAATCAGGTTTCACTTTTTGAACATTAATTAGCTTTAGCTCAAAGCCTTTTTTTAGAAACTTTATTTTCCTTTTTCTTAAACAACACATACAGTTTCAGTGACAAAAAAAAAAACTGCAGGTTGTCCATTTTTTGTTAAGGTCGAGATACATGTTAGTCATGGTTGACTATAGAAAATCTGTGTTCTAATTAATTTTTTTTTTTTTAATGTAAAAAAATAAAATAAAGAATCAGTTAGGGAAGAGTAGGCAGTTTCAAACTTTCCATGTACGTTAAAAATGGCTGCCATGTCCTATACAGTAGAATTTACAAGTGGAGCCTGCTCAAAGCCATTTTGACAAGCAAAAGCAATGGTCATTAAAAACATTTGACTTTAAACTTTTTACAAGTGTAACGGCCCGTCCACACGGCGGCGTGCGTTGAAGCTTCAACGCTTCTTCCCATTCACTTTGAATGGGGTGACGTCACGCTTTGCCGAACTGCATTGTGGTTCCGTCGCTTCGCGTTGCTCGCTTCAAAAGTTGAGAAAAGTTTAACTTTTGAAGCTTCGACGGAAGCGCCAGCCAATCAATATTGGCCAGTACAAGCTCTAGCCAATCAAACTGCCGTTTGGCGTGTAACGCAGCGTCCACACGGCAGCGTGCGTTGAAGCTTGCCAGCGGGCGTGTCTGAAACTCGACCAACAACCAATCACATGAATCTCCCGCCCCGGACACACAAAGCATGTGGTTTGATTGGCTAGAGCTTGTACTGGCATATGATTTGATTGGCTGACACTTGCGTCGAAGCTTCAAAAGTTGAACTTTTCTCAACTTTTGAAGCGAGCAACGCAAGCAAAGCGAAGCGACAGAACCACAATGCAGTTCGGCAAAGCATGACGTCATCCCATTCAAAGTGAATGGGAAGAAACGTTGAAGCTTCAACGCACGCCGCCGTGTGGACGGGCCGTTACACTTGTAAAAAGTTTAAAGTCAAATGTTTTCACGAAATTGAACCAGGTCCAAAATGGAAGTGACTTGGGTTGTTTTATTTGTGCAGGGAGACAGCAGTCGTTACCGGGTGCAGCTGACCTACCAGTCCCGTGATGCACAAGATCTCTCTCTGGGGACGGGGGACCTGGTCCAGTTTCTGGAGGAGGCGGAGAGCGGACACTGGTGAGTTTTAGTCACCTCTTATTGGAAATGTGGGATGTCAGTGAGCTTTTTCATGCCAACTCATTGTTTCCCTGCTTGGTTGCAGTTCTACTCCACTTAGCATTATATATAAAAACCTTTGGCATAGTGGGCCCGATCTTTCATTTCAAACACGTTTTGTTACTAAATTCAGGTCCCGGAACACACATTTACCAGTTTGATGCAGTGTTAATTTCGTCAACGAAAACTATGACGAAAAATGTTCGTCAACGACCTTTTTTACATGACTAAGACGAGACGATGACGAGCTAAAAATAGATTCTTGATAACGAAAATTTGACGAAATGTATATTTAGTTTTCGTTGACGAGACGAGACGGGACTAAGGTGTTAATGGTGGACTATCGGACATTAAAAATGCAGGGTATTTCCCCCCAATTGCCCGTATTGTCTGTCAAAATGCATCTTACATTTCTAACTTGCAATATTATTTCCGCTCTCTTCACTCCAGAAGAGCGATCTCCTCTCTGTGTGCGGGGGGCGGGGCCTAACAGACACGCTGCAGCGGCACACAGATCTGCCGGGGACGGAGCGTTCAGAGAGTATAGAGACACTCGACAAGTCTCGATGTGGACAAAGCTCGTTTGCCATGTTTTCGCGTTGACACGAGTAGAGTAGTCTGTCCAAACAGCCGGCCAAAAGGCGTCATATTCAGTCGGAGAAATGCACAATTTTCGACTTCCTTAACTCGTAGCTCTGTTGCCCCAATTACGAGTAACGTTATCACATCAGGTGTGCAGAGGTGGGAGAAGTACTAAGATCTTGTAGCTAAGTAAAAAAATACCATAGTGTAGAAAGAGTTCCTCAAGTCAAAGTATGATCATCAAAATATATTTAAAGTAGCGACAGTAAAAGTAGTCATTGTGCAGATTGGTCCATTTCAGAATAATATATATGATATGTTTTATAATGATTGATCATGAAAGTGTTCTCAAAGCTGGTAAAGGTGCAGCTAGTTTGAATGACTTTGTATACTGCAGGGTAGCTTGTGAATTTACTCCAGGTGGAACTAAAGTCTGATTTAACACTTGATTATATTTCACATCATTCATCCAGATCTGTAAAGTAACTAAAGGTATTAAATACATGTAGTGGAGTAGAAGTACACCATTTAACTATGAACTGTAGTGGAGTAGAAGTACACAGGAGCATAACATTTAAATACTCCAGTAAAGTACAAGTACCTCAACATTTTACTCAACTACAGTACAATATTTAAAAATAATTATATATATTTCATTTATTTCACATTTAAATAAAGCAATTAATTCGGTTAACAATTTGTTAGTTTTTTCCTTTAAAAAAATAACAAAAAGTAAATACAAGAATGCCGTTAAAGTACCGGATCGATAAGCAGTATTGATAAGACTAGTAGTACCGTAGAAAACCTTAACGATACCCATCCCTAGATATTACACAAGTAAAGTGTTAAGAAAGTGAAATGTTGCTTTACGAATTTCAACACTTGATGCTGTCACCTTAATTACAATTTCAGATACCTGTATTTGCCTAACTGAATTGGTTTAAAGAGAGAAAACATTTTGACTAAAAGTTGACTAAAATGTAATTTTTCATTGACTAAAAGTAGACTAAAACGTTTTGAGTTTTCGTCGACTAAAACTCGACTAAAACGTTTTGAGTTTTCGTCGACTAAAACTAGACTAAAACTATGAAGGATAGAAATGACTAAAATGTGACTAAAACTAATAACCATTTTCGTCTAAAGACTAAGACTAAGACTAAATCAAAAACAGCTGCCAAAATTAACACTGGTTTGATGCCAGTTCAACAAAAGCAGCATTTCTTATAATCTCACTTTGGATGTAGTTCTTTTAGTTCTCCTAAGGAATATATATGTTTGGCTCATCATTCTTTGAAGAAGATTACTAATGTTGAAGCAAATATTCCATGGCAGGAAAAGGACCATGCAGTTATTAACTTGTGTACTTAGTTTTTTTATGTTGAAAATAGGCTTGTCAATACCTGCATGCTTGAATGTGGAATACGTTGGAGGCAGAGTTAATTTGTGAGCAGCAGGCAGTGTTAAGATGATATTACACCCCATAATATGTTCATCAGATGAATTTTTTGAGAATGAAATGGACTTGGGTTTTTATAGGTTTAGTTAATAGTTGAACATTATCTCTCCACTCATCATTTTTTAATCACCTACAGCCCAGGTTCATTCCAACATGCTCCATTAACTGAAAGTCATCCCCTCTCCCCTCCCCCTTTACTGTCCGTCATCACTTTTATAAAGGCAAAAGGCAAAATTAGAAAAAGTCATTCATTAGTGTTTTTACAGTACCCGAGGACACAATATCCAGACTCTAGATATTTTGTTTTAAATGACCTGGCTACTGTAGGACACACTTTTAAACTGTGGTAACACCAGCCTAAATGTGCATTGCTGGTAAAGTTAATTCAGGAGAGACTTATTTTTGAGTAGACAAATATATTGATGTTGATGCTCATGAGAAGAGGTTGCTGAAGATCTGGATATGAGGAGTGGACTGGAGTCTTCCAGGTTAAGAATGCACTTGCTTTCAATAACGTAGGAAGGACTCTGAGCAAGGCTAATTTCCGGGAATATATCAGGGTGATACCAGAGATTTTGCACTCTAGAAAAAGGGAGGGCTGCTGGAGAGGTAATTAGTTGTTAGCATCTGCAACCCCAACACTCATTTTCACACATTTACAATGGGTTCTTGTGTATAATATTATTATGACTGATGTTAGGAACTTTTCACAGACTATTGGCAGCCACCATCAGCCCTATGAATACCTTGAAGCTGTGTTATAGTCACTGGGACATATTAGTGTCAATGTTTCACCAGAAATCTGCTCAACTAACCTTAATGGCACTGTGTACTACCTGCTGCTCTCTTAATTAGAAAGCACTGATCATCCAGCGGTCAGAATCACTGTATCATTGTGTCCTTTTATTCATGCATCATCTGCCACCAAAATAGTGAAGTACATGTTAAAAGAGTTGGTACCAACACAGTACTTCAGAGCTTTAATTGAAATGTACAACTGTACGCATTTTGACGTTCGGGCTTAAAGTCAGCTTCAGAAATATTTATTTCATTGATGTTTTGGTATAGTGTTAGTGTTTCTTTTTTAACATTAAAGCATGGAGACATTTTACAGTAGAGACACTAATATTGAACCTGAAAATGAGCAGAATATATTCCCCTTAAGCAAGTAGACATTATTCCCATAGATCAATAAAAAATAACGAATTATCACAAACAAAATGACCATACATTTTAATAATATAATTATATATTATATTTATATATATATAATATATTAGATTTTGAACAGACTAGCTTTTTCTATTGACTGAAAAAGTATTTACTAATCATCCTTCTCAGATTTCTTCTCATTTTGGTATCATACTGATTGTCTAGATGGACAAATGAACATGAACACCATACAATATCTGTACATGCAGTTATATTTGCTGTACCCTGTTTGTACAATGCCTGTAGCCTGATGCATGCTGGGCTCCAGCCGCCCACAACCCTGAAGAGCATTCATAGAAAAATAATGGAGCTTAGAATATAAAGCAGTGCACTACAACAACTCCATAAACTTCAGCATCGGATATCGAGTTGAATCCATCCTCGCTGACAGAGTATTGAGAAAAATGTAACATCACAATTCAGAAAGGCAGCATTTGACGCAGATCTGTTTTGATGACTTTGAGATAGTCTCAGCGTTGATGGTATTTTGTAGTTTTGCGTAAGAAAAGCATTTTTTCCACTCCCTCTGCTGCTATCTTTGATCATTACCCCCATGGGACCTCTGGTAAAAACTCTATGTAGAGTTTGGTCCACATTTATCAATCACGCTATAGCAAAAAATGTAACAGCTGCTTCCTGTAATCTACAAGGATTTAAGTCTCAGTGGGGCTCCTTTAGAATTCATTCAGTTTAACATTACCCTGGTGAAGTAGGGGGAGATACAACGACACAACGTTTGACTGATATTCTTTGCCAACTCAGGTTACTCTGTTTCTTTCCCCACATGATCAATACATTACACCAGAGGCGGGGGCTATGGGGGAACAGCCTCTGGAATCCACCACGGAAAGTGTGTTAGTCTTAAAGGGCCCATGTCATGGCCATTTCCACTGATCATAATTCCATTGTTGAGGTATACTAAAATAGATTTATACTGTGCAATTTTCCAAACTCACATTGGTTTCGCATACAGCATCTCTGTCAAGCATGTGTATTCAGCAGTATTCACTTTCTCCACTAAACGACTCGTTGGAGCTCTTGCCCCCCCCTCCCTGTGAGCCTAGTGTGCTCCGATTGGTCAGCTCGGCCACTCGTTCTGATTAGTCAACCACCAGAGAGGCTGCGCCCATGTCAGTGCTTTTCCCGGCTGCTCTCAGCGTAACATCAGTCTTATCATGGCGTCGGTACAGCGGTATATTTTATATACATATATATTTTTAACTGTTGTTATAGAAGAGTGTGACGGCCCCAGGGCCTTTGTCTTACGATGGGGTGGAGCTGAAGAGGGTAATCAGCGCGATCACGGACACCTCCGGACACTACGGCCCCAGTCTCTCTCCAAAGCGGCTGCAGGAAGACTAACTCTGCGATCCTCTCAACCACCTATCTTTGCATTTACCACAATAAATGTGCCGTGGTTTTGTAAACTCGTGTATGTCTCCTTGTCTTTCCGTTGTGGCCTACGAGCTACTCTCATAACAAAGAGTAAGTTATTTTTACCCGTTATAAACTACTACTGTTTGATGAGAAATCAAATCATGGTTTGCTATATATGAATTCAGGGAAGAAAGGATAGGCCTACTAAGTATTTCCATTAAACTTTATTTTTAGAAATGTACAAAATGAACATAAATATACATATATACACGGTATATCATCCATTCCTCCTCCTCTTGCCGGTGCGGTGCGGTGCCTTTTAGCACGACGCCTC